TTTATTATACATATAATATTATTATAAAAAGTTTCTGATTATTATGTATACAATATATGTACAATTTTTTTCACACATACGTATGTGTGTATATACATAAATATATATACGTATATACACACATATTATATACAATTAAATGGTTGTAGTTTATCAGAATAATGAATTTAATTTAATTCTCTTGAAATATTGTATGCCATTATGCATATATTCTCATTGAGTTTTACAGTGTGTATTTTTTTAATCTAATTTTATGTATTGTAGAATATGGTCATAGTTGATTAAGATTTGAAGATTTTAATTTTAATGTCTTGTACATAATTGCACAACTCAAATGTATAATCTAATATATACCATTCATTGCCACGGTCATTCATAATACTCCGAATCGTATATTTCATACAGCAGCATCGAATTTTAGTTCCATCATTTTTCACATGATCTCACAATATATGTAATATCTGCTTCTGCAATTTTTCATTGCGTTATGATATGCAAAAATATTTACAGTGTTAAGTAGAAATAACGTTGTGTGTTCTTACATGTTACAAATGATGTTTAACTGCATATTAAAAAATATGCAACTATAATATTCAAAGCTGTATGAAAAAGTATGTGCATGGAGTTGTTGTGGCTGTATGATATAATTTCTCTATGTGAATCAATGCACTTTACAAGGTAAAATTACATTTTACAAAAAAAAAATTGATAAACGTTATATTAACTAGACAGTTTTGTTTATAATTTTTCTAACTTCAACTTAACTTTCAAATATAACTATAAAAGATATAACTATAAAGATACACGACTCACGTAATTATCCTTTCTATATTGTTATTTTTTTCTATCACCTTATCGTTGTGAATATTCTCGTATTATATGAACGCACATATTTTGAAAAATTGAATCATTTAATATTACGTATAATTTATGTATGGCATTACACTAAATTTAACTTGTGTGAACGTTTATTGTAAGCCGTTATAAAAATTGTTGCTAGGTTTTTATCTTGCTAGATTTTTTACATGATGAACTAACAAAATTTTTATGACAAGTTGTTATAATAAATTTTTGTACATGATATATTGAAATGCTTGTTACTATTTGACATTTCATTATATATTATATGCCTTGTGTTGCAGTGCACAACAATCTTCAGAAAATGCTGTTAAATCCGGTCGTCATACATTAGGAAATCAAGTGATACGTAAAGGGTATATGTGCATCCACAATCTTGGTATAATGAAAGGTGGTTCAAGAGATTATTGGTTCGTCTTGACATCAGAGAACATTTCATGGTACAAGGACGAAGAAGTAAATACTCTTTCGTTCATAATATAGTTGACGATACGTTCATCACCCGATTCTCATGTATTATTTCTTTGTTTAGGAACGCGAGAAAAAATACATGCTGCCTTTGGACGGATTGAAATTACGTGATTTGGAACAAGGATTCATGTCCCGACGTCAGTTATTCGCATTGTTCAATCCGGAAGGCAGAAATGTATACAAGGATTACAAACAACTTGAATTGAGCTGTGAAACGCAGGATGATGTCGATTCATGGAAGGCCTCCTTCCTCAGAGCGGGTGTATATCCTGAAAAGCAGACGGAGCAAGCGAATGGTGAAGGAGAGGTATGTTTCTTATTTTGTAATTGTAACATTGAATATGTTACGTATATGCATTTAGTTTGTTGTATGTTTATACATACTACATCTTATTTAACGATAATGCAGCTTCAGTAAGCATATGTTCGTCAATTGTGGAATATCTGTATTTAAAGTGTTACTTCATTATTTATTTTAACAAATGGTAAATGTTATTCGTTATTTGTTATGTCAAAAAATATTTTATGTTTAACAACGAGAAATTATTTTATTTGTGGTTTATTTTAGGATAAGCAGCGGGTGAGTTAATATGAGAAATGTAATTGAAAATTTTGTTTGACATAACATCTTATCTGTGTGGTGGTGTGCAATTATTTTAAAAGTAGATGATTATATGTCGTAAATTATTTTATTGGATGTTTCCATTTAAAGAACTCTATCCAATGAAAATCATTGATGGGCTTTCTATTTTAATTTAGCTCTAATAAACTTTCATTTTCTACTAATGATATAATGATTGTATTAAAGAAGATTGAATTCTTGCATACTCTTGAAAGCATATTTAATTTTAGTATTCTTTCTTATGCATACGAATCATATATCGTGCACTGTTTTGTTCTCCGGAAATTAGATTTTAATATTACATTTACAATTTTTATTTAATTTTTTGCCTCTAATCAACTAAAGGAAGGATATGAGGTTGGTACTCTCATAGAAATGTGTCACAGCTATACAGAACAACACACAACATTCACACAAAAATAGAACACCTCCACGCAGTTCTGCTTTCTCAATAATGAGTACAATAAACTATTTAAATGTATGCGTTGTTTGGGAACATATTCTGTTTTTTTTTTTGTTAGATGCATTTGTGAACGTAGAAATCAGTGACACTATTTAATACAACTTTTTCTGCATTTTTAAAAACTTTTTTCGTATTTACAGTATGTAACATATATTAAATACAATGTTGAACTTTCTTTATGCTAACAATTAAGACATGACATTTATCCTCATTGTATTTATAGGGTGGATCTGAAGCTCAGTCATCAATGGACCCTCAACTTGAACGCCAAGTGGAAACCATTAGAAATTTGGTGGATTCTTACATGAAAATTGTTACGAAAACGACTCGCGATTTGGTCCCGAAAACAATTATGCATTTGATTATTAACAATGCAAAAGATTTCATTAATGGGGAGTTATTGGCTCATCTATACGCAAGCGGTGATCAGGTAGAATTCAGGACATTGACATTTTTATGACACTATTTATTGTGAATGAGGTTCTCAAATAATTAATACGTTACGTGTCACAGACTTCGATGATGGAGGAATCGCCGGAAGAGGCACAGAAACGTGAAGAAATGTTACGCATGTATCACGCGTGCAAAGAAGCGCTTCGTATTATTGGAGATGTCTCGATGGCAACCGTCTCCACTCCAGTGCCACCGCCTGTGAAGAATGATTGGTTGGCATCCGGTGAAAACCCAAGGTAAAAAATTATGTGATTAATTTCATTACTGCTTACGCATTTAACTAATTTGGTATGTCTTTCAATCTTGTACTGCCTGCTTTTACCACACATACTTGAACACCGTTCAAACAGTCTTGGGTAAGAGCCACTATATTTTTTACTGTATTCTCTATTTCCAAGAACTTGAAGCATAAAACTGAAGTTAGTTTTTCGTTATTATTTGCATACACTGCATTTATGTGCTTTGTATTTTTAGTTAAAGTACGAAATTTTTCATATTTTTTATACTCATAAATTTTTTTCGATGTACGCTTTGTATTATTACTATTCATTCAGTTTGTGCACTGTTTTTAAACTAAAAGACTTTAAGGTACAGTTTTTACCAACACCTGAAGTATATTATAATTTAGTTGATATTCAAATATTTTTATAATCGTGCAAAAGATTTGTAGAGAGAGTTTTCTAGTATATTTTCACTTGAATTACAAGATGTAAAATAGTATTCAATGTTTTAAATGATAATTCTTGATTTTTTTATTACTATAATATTGGAAACTATAGAGCGCAATAAGACGTTACAATGGTTTTGTTGCATAATCATTACAGGTTATCACCACCATCTCCTGGTGGACCAAGACGTGGAGTGACACAGCCACCACCTCTTTCTAGCTCTCGTGCACCACCTCCGGTTCCGGCGGCGGTTGGTCGGCCGGCACCGGCTATCCCAAGCCGACCTGGACCTGGTGGACCTCCGCCAACCCGTGGTAATCCTGGCCTACCTGCTCCACTTATACCATCGTAAGTACCAAAGAACTTTCTTTACGATTTACAACAATTTTGATAATACGTGTACCCTGTGAAGTACTACAGAGAACATACTAAGAGACAAATAAGTTTGTAATGCCTCTGTACATGTCGAGTTTTTCACAAATTTTGCACAACATCTTGCCATTTTGATGTTCAGAAGTAATCCTGTGTCTTAACATGGCTGGTGAAGGTGAAGGTTGAAGGGATTTCTTTTTTTTTATCTTTTTTTTCACGTCTTCACCGCAAAAGATATCTTGCAAAGGAAATATTGCAATCGCTTGTTCCTTCATTAGCTTTATGTGATTTGAGCTTTGGTGCTAACTTCACTTTCTATTGCAGGCGCCGACAATAAGTCTTCGCACTAACTCGCCTATTCGTTATTAATTAATATACATACATATATACATATACATGCATATATCGATTAAATCTAGTCAAGTGTACATTTTACACGAGATACTATTTCCTAATGCTATATGTCTTGACTTCAAATATTACAAGTTATCACGAGTTAATTAGAGGTGTGTAATTTGTAAGGAAAGTATGCGAATTTGGGGATGCTCGTATTATTTAGAAATGAAGATGAGTAATCAACAACTTTTACGAGCAATTTATTTCGTATTGCGCTTTATAATCCAATATAGATAATCTGTTCAATTATTTCGTGGTCCAATTATTTCGTAAGAATGACCAAGAGATCATTATATGAACTCTGTATTTATTCTTGACGATTTCACTTTGTTTAATAATATTGCGAAGCATGCTCGAAGTTCGCTCATCTTTCGAATCATTCCAACGATATTTAATTCTTGCCATAACAGTTTGCACACCTCTAATTAAGATTCTAAATGTTTACAATGCAGTTAATCGGTATTAGTGACAGAAAACTGTGTAGGAATGAATCACGCTCATTCGCGACATACCGGCACCCAGAAGATAGGTAGAGCGATGTTTGTTTTATTGTAAATTAGTTCGATGGATTTGTATATGACGCCTGTATATACAACTAGAAACGTTATGAAATATACGGCTTTGGGTTCTTATCACAGGTGGTGGATAAGTATTCATTTGCTTACTAACAGCATGACATTTTGATTACAATGTAGCCACTCTATTTAAATATACATTTCTAATCATTCGCGATAGCAATATTCCGATCGACGTAAAGAAGACAAACCCACGCGAGAGATTGTAATACGCAAGTACGTGATAAATCTTACAATAACTGAATTGAAAACCATCGAGATTTCTAATGATTATTGCTTTCTTCCTCCATCGTTTGAATCGGGAAATCTATTCATTTTAAAGGAAAAATATCGGTCTTTGAATGTTGTCAATTGTCAATTAGGGACAGACATGTCGGTGCCTGCACAAAAAATAAATGATTTGTTCTTTCGAAGATATATCACGCAGTTGATCGTAACGCGAACATTCATTCAAATGAACCATAAATACACTGCGTGATAGTGGTACAATGCGAGCCTTGCCACTTTTTTTTAAAAGTCACGCGAGATTACACATACTTCTTAGGACATTCGCGGATGCACTGTGTATCAGTTTTAAAATTAGTGCATCGCAAATAATTACATAGTTAGAGATAATGATGTATCGATTAATCTGTCTAACGTTAATCATACTTGTATTGTTAAGACATACAAAAAAAACAAAAATAGAAAATGATTAAAAGCGGTAGTAAAAGCTGAGTGTCCGTGGTGTATGTTTAGTCGTGTGGGTGGTCTTCAACAAAGGGTGACGCAAGCTGCGACGCAGGCCGCTGCGAATGCCGCCATGAACGAGCTGATGGACGCATTCAAGATCAAGTAAATAGATCCTTGCTGTCTCACGTACTTTTTTCTTATAATGCGAGATATCTTGCCCTCTTAGCCACAATATATTAATTATTATGGGTATATTCCTGTTTAAGTTCCGCTGTTATAAGTAGATTGGTAGACTGTTCAGGGTTGAGAATGAATATACTAATTCGATGTCTCACTATTTACCCGATAGAGTTTGTCAATAACGATTTTCGCGCATTTATAACAAGCTGCGTTTTTTTATCTCCTTTGCTCTCTATTCTCCCATCTGTGTCTCTTTCTTTCTCTTGCATGATCCAACAAATTGGATTAACAGCGATGATGCCTTCGAAGTTTTGTATCGTTATTTGACGTATATGCGCAAGATATACATATTATATATATATATATATAATGAAACAAATGTTAGGATGCGATATGAAAAAAGATATGAAGGAGTGTCTTTGAATATTTTTAAAACGTACAGCTCGCTCCGAAAGATTCCACGCGTATATTGTTCTTACCTCGTAAAACGATTAGTTGTTAAAAAAATAAATAAATGTGCTTATAAACCTTAGAGTAACGGCGTGTATTGTATAATATTCCAAAGAAATACTGAAGTGTTTGAACATTACGAAGGGATCTGAACAGACTTCGAGATCGTAATTACGTAGTATGTAATGCATTGATGTTTTGCTTTCGACGCGAAGCACGGAAACCTGTATGTATATCCAATTTTCTTGATGATAGATATCTGAAATGTGCATACGCATTCTCTTTGAACTAATATATCTACTTGTATATCCAGTGAGTCATATCCTGGAAAGTCTACCAGAGCCCTAAAATGTGATCAAGGTAATCTCAATTAAGCGGAGTTCCAGTAGATTGGAACATCCGCGTCGGGAGTTAATCGTTCACTTGAAAAAATTGTTTTTGAGATTCGTAAAAATAAAAGAAATGTCATGCTGTTGAGTAAAAAGAATTGCTGATAAATTGTTGAACGTTCGTTTAATCAAGTATTGTCGATCGATATCTAACCGACAAATACGTTACACCTGATAAGTTTAATGTATCGTAATTTATCGATTACGCGCGACACGAAATAAGAGCTACACCACATACATGGATACGTACATATACATACTGACATACACACTGTTTCTCTACCTCTTAAGATGTTCACACTTTTATTAGTTTTATTTTTAACCATTAATATTACCAGTATCGTATAAAGATATACATATATACATACGTATATATTAGCTAATCCCTAATGAAATATTAACGACAAAAAAACGTGCTCAGACATAGGATGTGATATAGCGTAGAGTGCTTCAAGGATTTTGCATGAAAATCCTGAATCGCGAACTCATTTCTTTCTAAGCAGAAATAACTCTAACAGAAAGAACAATTTACTCTGATGATACCGAATCAGAATGAAATACATATATACTACATGTACACATACAGTAATAACCGTGTACCGTTAATAATGTATAATGAATGTATATCACAGTGAGTGTTTAGGAGCTACATTGTATTTCGAGAAAAGGAATATTTGTTGCTTCCTATGCTCCTCGACAGATACTCAGCGAGTTGAAATAATTGTACATGTACATAATATAAGAAGCAGAAATATGATATACTCTAACACGTTCTTGTAACTGAACAATCCTGCGAAGCGCGGCGTGCTTTTGGATTTGCGTCACTATACGATATTAGTAAAATTTATATATAAATATATTTATATATATCATATAATAAACGTATATAATTTTGAGTAATATTGTGTCGTCGGAGAAGAACTGACGGGAAAACGGGATATTTCATATTTCCAACTACAAACGTAGGGAATGGTTCACAGTGCGAAAACTTTAATTAAAAGCAATGTTACTTTTTAATACAAAGCCAGGTCGATTTTTATATAACAGTTTTTTTGAACATGTTTTATTTTTGAATTTTTTAAAAACGGCAAAGATAATAAGAACCCCGTATTCAAACTAATCGTAATTAATTCTTACGAGATTTCTGCATCTACGCAACGTTAATCGTAATCTCTGAGCTAAATTTAACCGAAATCTTGCTGCGTCTGAATGCTATTTTTTCCCAAAATATATGTATATATTTATGCATAAATATCTTATGACGTTCGTCGTTGCAAATAAGAGTGATGCAAGAGCGGGTTTGAATCTTCTCTTGTGCCTCCGTGGCCAGTGACGCACAAAATTATCGAGGGCGGTAATCGAAATGCAATTATAAAGATATAAAATGAGAATAAAGGAAACAAAAATTATTTTTCGTTACAACAACACGTCGAAGATCTCCCTGGGTAGATAACAATTCCAAAAGAAAGCGTCACTGTACCCTTCCCATTTATAGAATCAAGCGTACCAAAGAAAGACACGGAATCTCGTTTTATTCTATAAAATTAATAAATTCAGCGGAACGTGTTAATAACATGTTCAATTTCTAACAATAAGAGGCTCGACGTTAACGAGGCCTAACTGTATTCACAAACGTCATTGGAATACGTATCAACATATTTATTCATGCTGAATTACGTAAAGAGCCGCGATTTCTCTTTTTATAAATATCGACCGACGATTTACTCAGAAATAAGATATCTTTCCAAAGAACAAGATTTAGGAAGCTCTATTACATTCTCTGTGAAAGCACGTCACGCTCGTGAACTGAATTAATTTATCACATGACACGAACATTTTCTGATTCGTGATTTAGATTACCGTTAAATGTGCGATATAATGTATCGTGTACAATACACTCGACAAAGGATATGAAAATAATTATCACATATACACGGAACAAAGAAACTCTCGCGAGAAGCCATAAGCCGTATCATTGTAATGTTACTGTACAGATTACAGATATACATATACATGCATATACATACAAGAATATGTCTATTGATTACTTTATGCACTGTAATGCTAGAATTAAATAGATCATATGTTGAAATTACAGAAATAATTGTAATTACAATATTATTAATTATAATTTAATATTATTATGATTAACTATATCATATTATATTGTACATTGTATAAAATTAACAAGATGGTGTTTACTCGTTTCTATGAGAAATTCTGAATTTCTGTAAATTCTGAAATTTTTTAGTTCTCCTGAAGTTACATTAAATTGTTAGATTTTTTTCCAGTAAGTCAGTTTACTTATAAAATATTGAGAAGGCGATGAAATTAATAACTAAGAGTACGAAATGTAGCGTTTTAACAATATGGGCATATCAAGTAGCAAAAGTTCAAGGGAAAAGATCGTACTTTAGTGTGTCCAGATATTCATCGAGATTCCACCCTCGTTCAACTACATTCCTATTGCTTTTTTTTATGTTACGTCGCAATTATAGCATTTAAAATATATACTGCGTCTGCCAAAGAAAACAGAGTTTTCGAATCCATTTTTTATCCTATATGATATTCGTAATTTACTTCTTTTTACGATTCCATCTTATAGGTATAAATTTATTATAGTATTTTGAGAAATTGGTGGTATTTATCACAATCTCCAGTTGAATAATATCTCCATTAAAATAAAAGGCTAATTAGCATTCTTTAGTCATAAGAATATTATGGTCGTAAACACTGAAGGATTAAAAAGTAATTAAATTATCGATAGAAAAGATATTTTATAAGTAGGGCGTACTTCAGTTATTATTTATCGATTATAATAGGGTGGAATCTTTGTTACAAATAATTACAACGAAAGACGATCGGTGAAGAAACCGTGACTGGCAAGTCGTTCACGGTCTCCTATTTCATGTTTCTTTACACGTGTATACCGTCAATTAAATCATCAGATCAGTAGACTCTTCCGTTCAAAAAATATTTTATATCTACCCTTCGGTTTCACTTTGTATTGTATAAATGCACCCTGGTAACTGATGAGCCTAAAAAGAGGTCCTGGAGAAGAAATCCTGAATTTTTGTCACTAGATCTAATCCGAAAGGTAGCTTGACGATTTTCAGGAATATCGTCATCACATTATTTAGGGATCAGTTATGGATGCAAAAGAGTTGGAAAATTACTTGCTCTCTTGTAAACGCAAAACGATACTTCCGTACCTAATATTTAATCGTCCAATTGCGAGGCGAATCTGAATACATTTCTGACGAACATTTCAATAAAAAGCATTCTAGGTCTTATTGTATAGAAGAAGAATTTGTTTCCGAATTGTATGATTTATTATTTATTTATGAAAAGTATTATGTATATGTATATACATTATAATCTAACAATTACACGACCTGTTTCCAAATTCTTTTTTTGCTTTAACGTTGATTGCATTCAGATCGCTTCGCGAACTAGAGAGAGGAAGAGAAGAAAAAACGCGATGAATCGGTGAACGAGGTAGTCACGATGCGCATCCTATTCACGCGATTATTGTTACACATGCTTCCAACCAGAGCCTTAAATGTAGCGAAGTTCTATATATATATACGTGTACGTAGTTACCAGAGCTTACTTCGAGTAAGTCTAACAATAAGTAAGCAGCAAGCACGTGAAATCGTACCACCAGTGGTGTGTAAATGCAAAAAAGTCAAATGAAAAGATGATTCGCGGCTGGATTCGTTATCGGTGTTATTTTGCCGTTGTCAAACGAATCTAGATATACATTGGAACGAATCTTGATAGTGCTCTAAGTAACCATCAATGAGTTTACCTTTGATAATAATCCATGGATAAACGTGTTCAGGATGATACTGCGGGCTCTTGACTAGTCTTGACTTGGGTATAGCTGGGTATTTTAACTTTACTAAAACATTTATTATTATCAATATATTTATCATATTGGAAACATTATATTTTTTATCATTGATGAATTTAATTTTTTAAATAGTATCTAGAACACGAATGAAGTTTAAAGAAAGTAAATCTTGAAAATCTCATTGATATATTATCATCCTGAATTATATCATCCTGAACTTGTTAAAAAAGCGACTTGATAAATTGATTCGAGAAATGTCCAATACTTGAGAAAATATTAAAGATTCCTAGTTTCTACTGTTAGAGGATCCATCCTGAGGGGACTGTAAATGTTCGTGCATATTCATATTTTTATAAATGCAGATGGTAGGACAGAAAATGACTGTAGTCTGAATAGATGTTTGTTTCGTCTTGTATTTTTTCATCGGGTACGCCGGTTTAATTCTTAATGAATGCATTAACATTCACAGTCTAGCCATATTTTTTATATCTTTCACAGTTGTAATTTTACTAAAAACATTTTTCCTTACTGTGGAAGTGTACGTTGAATTTCCTCCTTGGAGCTCGCGTATCTTGAAGTCAATTTAACGAATATTTGATAAATAAAATAGAAGGGTCGACATTGACAGGTTACTTAGTGGATTATTCTGTATGAATTGTGCACATCGCACAATTCACCGTGTTGTAATATTGCGCGATATACATACGTATATACATTATACATAACTCTGTTTTACTTCGATATAAATGTGTATATAGGAACATGTTGAATAGGTTCAAAAAATATATATATATCTATATGTATGTATATAGATATATATATGAATACATATATGTACAAGAAAGAGAATTCGAAAAAAAGCGTGTTATACCTAGATATATTATATCTGACCGACCGGAAACGCATTTCCGCTGGGGAGATTATTCATGTCCACCGAAATTAACGATTCTTCCTGCGGCATTAATCGCATTGTAGTTGTGTTGTAACACTATATTTGTGCTGTTATTATTATTATTATATAATACTTGACTGGTCTCGATTGTCGATAATTGTCAACACGTAACGTTTTTTATATGTCGAACTGATGAATGGCTTGCTAATTATTGCTTGAATGGAACGTGTTGCGTGCAGAATAACGTGCATTATTTTTTTGACACAGAATGTCCCCGCACGCTGGAATGCGTATCCGCGTTCTGCGTTATTAATTTTCTTTATATACTATATTATATATTTTTTCAAAATCAAATCATTATACCCGATGTCTAGTACACCTTTAAATAATTTTTCCCCTGAAAGCATCCAGGATCTTACCTCGTTAAGTAATTATGTGTACGAAACAATCCAATTGTATTTATCTGTACCCGAAGGACGTTTTGAAAAGATATAATTAAAATTTAAGATCCGATCGAAAGTGTGCCAAGTGGTTTGTGTATGTTCGGAAAAAAAGGAGGAAACAAGGGAGAATCGTAGAACGAACGTCCTTTTCATACGTTCATCTCTGCATGGGTCTTTCGCTACTGCTTGAGCATGTTGTGCAAGTCTTGAATCTTCTTTATTTGGCAAAAAATAATGATCATTTGCGTAGTATTTCTTCAGTTTCATTTATTCATCTATCATTGAAACTTATTTGTATTTCATGTGCTTTTCATGTTACACGATTACCGGCCGCATATTTCAATATTATCCGATTTGTACACATATCATTATATATTATTTTCCTTATTGCTAGTTTCATGATATAGTAAATATACAATACACATTTTATTCTTTTACTTAAATTACATGCTCATTCGCAAATCATAGCATTGTATGGTAAATACGTATCAACGATGGTCAATTAATTTTGTTCGCTTCAAATCACTTAGAAGTTTAATAAATAATCTGATAGTTTTAATTTGATTGGTCATCTAAATGAGCTCTTGGAGTGCGAAGTGCAGCATTATAATGACTTTTGTACAATTGAAATATATTTTTTTATGGATTTTATAGATTATAGATAGAAAGATTTATATACTTGAAAGGAAAGAGATTCTACTAAAAATTTCTTAAAATACTGTTTTGAAGTGTTTTTTAAATTTGCCAAGAAATTACGATGTATTTGAGAACTGTTGCCACCATTTATACTCGCAATCGAAGGGCAATATACGTACATACAAAATTCTTGCAACATTTATTATTGCTTTACATGTTCATACTTCAGAGCATATCAAGTCAATGAATCACCGCCTTTCAAAAACATGTCTACGAAAGAGAGCACCAAGTAGTTAATCACTATCTGTGTTATAGGCGTCCCGTACCCAATATTCCTCCCCGAATTCCCGACAGACCGTACTACGGCCGCTTAAACTGAGCTAGTCCACGGAAAAGCGCACGACACCTGTGCACACACATCCACGCCCGAGAGCGTTCGAAGAGTTTCATTTCGAAATGAGCCGATGATCGAGAAAACACGGGAACACGAGCTCAGAACGAATACAAAAGAAACAGAGCTGGGGGAGGCGTCATCCGACGCTTTAGCGTTACGGGTGAAAATCCTCTCTAGCATCAGGACACGTCCTTCTAAGATAGATCTCTCTCTTCGTACAAAACTGCAGCTGTTTCGCTGCGCGAGAGAAATATTCATATCCTCTCTTCGTGCCTACGAAGAGGAAAATCATGGAAAAAAGAGGGACGGTGACCGGCGACGATGGAGCAGGAGAAACAAGGCTGTGCCACAAAAATAAAACAGAGGGGAAAGAGGGACCAAGAAATCGGGACGAATCGGGGCCAGCGAGAGGGAAGACCGGAAAAGGTCTGCTAGTCCGTTATTTTACTCGATGGCAGCCAGAGGCAAAACAAATCAGTCACGCAACTTTCTTCTTTCTCTGATATTTCGCCTTATACGTTATTTATAAAGTATCGTTAGACGCGTTAGAGTACGTGGTAGCTTCTAAGTATTAAAAATGTGAATAAAAGAAAAAGGTTGTGGCGCTTGATGCGCGCGGTGCAAACGCTGAGGGAGCGATCGTTAAGCCTGGTATCAGGAAGAGGAGTCTTCTGCGACAAGAAGCGATTTGTCCTTTTGCTTTTAATAATTTTGTCTTTTCTTTTTGTTGGCAGTATTAGAGAACGGAAATTGGAATATGTATTGTTCGCGAGAATTACAGGAATTTTGTTGAAATTAATTGTTTTAGATTGGTAAAATTTGCGTGAAAAGTTAGGCAAACTTAGAACATTATGAAATATTTTAGATGCGGAAGTAGTCGTCAATATTTGCTCCTTGTTCGAAGACTCGTTACCCAAGGTGTTGTTCAAACGAGATTTATGGACAAAGTTACAGGAAAACCAATCTATTTTTCATTTTGAGGGAGGTGGGAAATGCTTTTACGCATCTTAAAGGGCTAGCCCCCCGTGTGTGGAACTCAATAGCGGCGTACCTCTCCGTCGCAATTCCACCTGAAACCTACACCCCATCGTGACTGGATCCTCTGCCCGGCTGTGTCTATCACAAGAGAACTACGGGCAGGGGCCAAGACATGCAACCCAATTACCTCGTATTTAGGACAACTTACTAGAGCAAAAAAATACACACAATTCGCCAAATGAGTAATCACTAGGTGAGGTGATAGCATGGAAAAATGCGAGACTATATTCGACCGACGACAGCATTCCAGTAACGCCTGTGCGCAAGTCAAAGAAAATAAAAAAAAAAAGTAAAAACTGAGGGAAACTTAGAGTCATTGTAATTTATCGCACTAAACGCAACAATACTTTTTGTACGATTAATTTATTGAAGTATGATGACGATGCCATTTTACAGCTCGAGTTTAGTTAACGTTAATAATAATGATATTAATAATAATAATAATAATAATAGAATCAATGAACAACGAATTGTAGAATGGAAATTTTCTAATCTAATTACGTTTCGCGACTACACGCGAGAATTATAAATAAGTATATGTAAATTCCTCGTCGATGTGTGCAGAATAATGTTGATGGTTTTTATTTGTTTTTATCTATTTTTGCATCTTCACGTGTTAGCTGTTATGATAAACGCTTTTCGGTGGGAAGCGAAGAACTTGGAAGAATCTTCGAAAAATGAGGCCAACGTTCTACCAGGGAAGAAGGAATGAACGAATTGTACATACAAAATCAAATATGAACATAGTATTATGTGTCGATGTGCGTACTAGGGAAAAAGGAACATTCTTTTTCCTTTCTTCATTTTGTATTAAACGAAACTTGATAAATCGATAGTTGATACACGACACCGACTGATAACTAATGTGTACCTAGAACATACGTCAAATCGAATAAAACAATATTTAATATAAATTTCAATTTTTACCTTCCCAAAACATTTGGATTTTGCAATCGTCAATTGTTCTTCCTTATTCGATATGTTGATAAATTCTCGTCCCTTTTCCTTTGGTTATATTTTAAAACAAACGTAACGTTACTTATGTTCGAAGTTTACATATTAAAAAATGAAATGTAATGCATATTTACGTTAACGATTTTCATGAACAACTATGTTGACGGAAAATCATATTTTCTGTTGTTTCAAATTGCTTATGATTTGTTATCTTTGTAACAAATCTTGTTTTATGCGTAATTTATATGGAACGTGAATAGGAATAATATTCGTGTAAAGCTCTTGGAAAATTTGTTGTTTGTAACAAGGAAAAGAAGAGCATACTGTTGAAATTGATAAACATGTCGATACAAATATGCTGCCGCGATCAGCGGAAAATGGGTCATGTGATCGATCAGATAAAGATACTTGCCAATAACTTGGACGAATTACGGGCTGAGATAAATACCTTAAGAACAAATGTGAAGGATAAAATGGATTGTTCACATGGAAGTGATTTTCAGCGAAACAAAAGTAGTAAAACCGACGTTGTGAACAAAGTTAAAAAATACATCAAAAAGGTAACGAGCATGTATTCACTGAAGAAGGCACAAAAGAGTAATAAAATTCGAGAGGTATATGATTTTCTATAACATTGAAATACTTATTTATTTACGCTGATCAAAGTAATCAGTATTTCATGTTATGTATTTCGTTGTTAGCCTTACTATTGTACGAATTTGGATCCCCAATTGCCTTCGTTTTTAAATTACGTGTTACGCACTGAGAAAAAGGAAGGCGTGAGACAAGAACCCACTAAGATAAAATATTTGAAGAACCAAGGCAATCAAACGACCGAGAAATCTGAATGCCATCAGTTCGCTGTACGAAGTCCAACCGCATCTATAAACGTACAGAATGTGGAAGATATTCGTTATAGAGCTTCAATTGCGAATGATGGAAATGGGCAACGCGATGAAATAATGTATCCGAGTAAAAATGCAAATCTTGCTCCAAAATGCTCCGATATTAGCTGTGAATTGTACGTACAAGTAGAAAATCCAGTATCCAAGATGAACATTTTCTCTGACTCGTTTACTTCCAACAATTACCCAGAAAACGTGGAAGTAACATTGTTAAATGGCAATAACAAACCATCCTCGACGAAATCGACGCAAACCGAAGTATCAAAACTAGGACGAAAACACAGGAACTTGAACTTTCAGTATAAACATCCGAACTTCTGTTTTTCGAGAATAAAGAATGCTGTGATAACGAGAAAAATTGTAAGAAATACGAACGAAAGTACATATACAGTGTGCGGGGACCTCGGCAACATGAGAAGTTACACGTATCTGAGAGAGGAACGTTGCAAACGTTGTAATTGCAAACGGAGAAGAGACAATTCTATGGAATCAAATTATCAAGATGCAAATGTGGAAAATTTGGCACTTGAAAAAACTGTTCTGCAGTTGAAAAATAATCCAGGCACACATAATGATGTGTTGCCACACTTTGTATCTGACGAGGAACCGAATTTGACGCCCTCCTCGGTTTCACTAAATTTGGAAGTAAACACATCTAACAACTCAAATAAGATCAAAGAATTTTCGGATCGTAGAAAACCACGAACCTATGTAGTACATAAAACAACTCAAAAACGTAATCAAGATAATTGGTTGAACCGCTTCGAGAGGAGCGTCATTTACGTAGGGCCAATTTCCGATTTGAGCCTTTCTTCGAATAGTTTTTCTAATCACAATAATTGTTTCAATTAATGAAAATTTTATTACAATTATTTGGGAACAGTAAAAAAAACAAATTTAATAGTACATACAATCCATATAGATATTTTTTACACATATACTTTGCATTTCAACAGTCTTGAATTAAGAGATATCACAAATCATTCTAAATTACGTATACTACGTAACACATTTATTTCATCTTTTTTCCGCATTAAATCAAGATTTGGCCAGTGTTACGCGAAAAGAATCTTACAATTAAAAACAATTATAAGAAGAACATGCAATACTGCTTCAATTGTCTGCAATAACAAGATATAGACAGTATTTAGATTTCTGCCAATTTATTTCACTTGAATTCATAACTACTATAAATCGATTCGATAGTACATATATGAATACCTTTATTATATAACAAATGTGAAATGAAATTGTATATTGTTTTCAGCTCTGGTATTAGTGTTTAGGAATTATTTTTGGTGACTGCTGTTGCAGTCACCGAGTTCGTGGCAGGCACACGACAATGAGAAATTGTCTTCCAGACCGCCACGAACGTCCCAAACACCCCATCGTTCGAGTCGGTGTTTTTCTTGAAATTGTGTACCGAATAACGATTGTACATTCCCCAGATGCTGTTCATCAATTTGCTGTTATACTTTAAGGGTGTCAGCTCCCATCCTGTAAAATTAGAGATAAATTGATCTTAGATAAGTTACTATGAGTTGACAACACCAGTTTATTTCATTATATTTGAAAAGTTAAACTCTTGTTCCCTATATCACAATCTTTTATATTTGAATATAAAATGATAGTCGTTTGTATTTATTAATGAAATTGTGCTGTGATAGTATCTAATATCTATTTTAGCGTAGTACGTCTAAATAATATCATGTTTATTGTGTACTGATCTATATTAATATCAATGATATGTATTAATGGTGTCAACACAAAGTGATCGAGAAAATGTTGTTTCTCGGAAACTGATAACAGGAAAGATTGAACGCAGTGCCCTAAAAGCAATAGTACGTGACTGATAATAGTTCACGCGTCTGACAAATACCTTCCAATGGGGGTCTCATATTAAATTTGCTTTCTTTTCCCGTTCTTTCCCTGTCCTCGATTGACGTTATCATAGAATTACGTTGAAGATTGCGACGGACTTTGCACGCTGCAAAAGCACCCTGAGGAATAGCTGCCATTCTGGAGCAATCTACGATATAATGAGAAACAAGATTAAAATATTTACATTATTCTACGCATCGTCCAATGTGAAATCCAGAATGAAATCGCCTTTATCAAAGAGGCACAGTTTATCTCCTTTTTTGGAAAGTAGTAAGTTGGAAACTATAGTAACACAACTCAATCCAGTCATATTGCTAATTATGTGTATTGTCTGCGATAAATTCAAGCAAAGAATATCTACAGGAGATGAGACACGTAATCAACTGTGATTATCAAAATCTTGACTTGTGCAGCTACATATTATGATGTTTAAACGTATAAAAGAGATCAATAAAACGAACCGGTACAATTTTCGAACAACAACTCTGCTATCTTCTTTTTGGCGCTTATCGTTCCCACCCTTCCTTCGCAGACCTTAATTTTTAGAACTTCCCCGATGTTTAACAATTTTTGACGTAGTTTTAATCTTTGGACTCTCATACAATTGCAATCAGAATTCCTCGAAATCGAAACAATCATCGACCGACCAAAAATATCCGGCGAAATCTTTATGATAAATGCGATCTTCACTTTTGGTTTACGTTGCGTGCAAAAATATGAATTAATGCCTCTGACTTTGAGAGGAACCAACGTCGTACTAACTTTATGTGTTAATATTGATTTGGATTCATGAGCTCGGATCGTGAATAAGTGGGGAGAAACCGATTCGTTGGAAGGCAAAAAAAAGAGAAAATGACTATTTTTGCGACGAGTAACGAAGATATCAGCGTCCTTTGAGACCTCTGCTGACACCGCAGACCACCATGGTCTCTTTATCATTACAGTAGACTTGTTAGATTTAAAATACGCTGCCTCTATGACCTACATACACATGTGTGTAACTTAAACAATAATAATTATTTTCTACGTAGTATGATGATAGTACTTTTCTCATGCTACATATTATACTTTCATTGAATCACAATTATTTTAAATTATTTTTAATCGAATGATTTACTTTTTGGAAACTATACATATTGCCTCAACATTTGAATTCAGTGAATAAAAATCGTCATGTTTTCCTCTAACGTCGAAAGAAATTTTAGTATACATCAATAATGGAAATACTGATAAGAAGGAACCGTGAAACATTAGATAATAGACGTTAGATAGAAATATTTCGTCATTTTATTATGAACGTTTTATATAATATGAATATCATTTTTCTTGAACTAGGATAGGATAAATTTACTAAGAATAACAATTGCAAGTATAGTTTAATACATGTATACAATAAAAATAGCAGTTAACGATATTTCGTACAAAAATAATATTTCGATCATTAATATAAGCTTATATCAAATATTGATTAGCCCATATCAAAGGAGACTAATGTTTTTCGTAATTATGACTCCAATTAGGTTTTCTTTTTTCAATGAAACTCTTTATTCCCTCTTGGGCATCTTTCAGTTTTAAATTATGGATCATTTTTTCAGTTCCCAAGAAATACGCAGTTGACAAATCTAGATCCATCTGTTCGTATAAAAACATTTTCCCAAGATGTACGACCGAACGACTTTTCATATTTATGGATGTAGTGATGTTCTTGATTTCTTCTTCTGTTTGCGAGAAATTATAAAATTACATAGACAGAAATATATCGTTTCAATTTATTGATCCGATTAGTTTACCGAGTTTATCATCTGGCACAACTTTGCTGACGAGACCCGTACTATATGCTTCTTTACCAGTAACGTTAGAACCCGTGAGCAACATGTATATTGCTGTTTTCTTCGCTACATTTCGAATCAAAGGAATTCCGGGCGTTGAACAAAATATCCCAACATTTGCTCTAAAAAATAATAGTGGAACAACATTAAAAGAACGATTATTAACGTAAATGCTTGTATTGGAAAATCAAATGTGCATACCCTGGTGTAGAGAATACACTTTTCTCGGTACAAATAGCGATATCACACGTAGTAACCAATTGGCAGCCAGCTGCTGTTGCTACACCATCTACGGCAGCGATTATGGGAACAGGACTTTGTGTGATTGCTCGCATTAATTCCGAGCACGTTTCAAAGATTTCCTTGTGAAGCTTCTCATCGCTATTAGTCTAAACGACGCAAGCCAATCATTTCTCTGTGACGAATGTAAATTCCTATATTAAAGTGATCACGCTATCATTAATTTTTAGTTCAACTACAAACCAGTTCTTTCAAATTATGTCCAGCAGAAAATATATTCTTTATGCCAGATTTAATAACTATGGACCTTAGATTGTTATTGCTTTCATCTCTTTTAATATTCTCCAATAGCAATTTTAACATATCTACAGACAAAGAATTCCGGGAAGGGGGATGATTTAATATCAACGTCCTTACCTAATGGTAGAAACAATTAGACAATAATCTTAAGATTTAGTAATACTTGCAATAGAGTATAGGATATTCTTACACCATCATTTTCCTCAACCAACAAAATCTTTTCTTTCAATGATAATGTTTTGTCAGTACATAATGTTCTGGTAATATATCTTTTCACCTGCAATATTCGTAAATGTATAATACACAAGCACGAAAGTAACTTTAATTAATCAAACACAGTGGCTTTTATTAATATCCGGACTCATTTCACAACAGAAATAACTCTTTTAATATTGTACCAAACAATTTAATGTTCTTCGGTTCAACATTAAAAAAGTTATTTGGTTTTAAAATGTGTTCAAATGTTTAATGCAAGTCACTGTAGTTTAGGCCAAACTAAAGTGAGAAGGAGGGACTAAAACCCAACTTTTACCTTCCCAAACTATAAATCATAAGGGCTTATAATGATTCTATAATTCTGAGCCCAAAAAGATCTAATATAGAATTTCAAATACATAATGTAACGCATGCAAAATTAATTGCAGGTTATACGTATAACCTCAGCTGCACATATTTATCTTAGACTCTCAGTATTTTACATGATCTTATAGAAGATCGTACTATTTCATATGTGAAAAAAAAACAGAATACCTGTA